GTGTGTGCGTGTGTGTCGTGTGTCGTGTGTAGTGTGTCGTGTGTCGTGTGTCGTGTGTATGTGTGTGTCGTGCTACATCAATAGTCGGACTCTAGGGTCAACCTTGATCAGGTTGTGGTAGAACTGCGACTCAATAGCGCCCACGGCGACGTACTTGCCTTTAGCGAGGGGCGAGGAGTAAGTAAAGTTAAAACGAAGCGAAGGCCCCCAGGGGGGAAGCGAAGGCGAAGGCGAGGCGGAGAGGCGCATTACCATCCTTGGTGCGATAGGTCTCGTAGAAGGGAGCGCCGGAGTCGAGCACATTCGATCCCCGCGCGTTGCCCCAGATGCCCGTGTGTCGGTGGTTGTGGATGAATGTTGAAAGATAAGATGCTCCGTCGACCATGGCGGCGTCGACTACCTGCACTCAGGGTTACCGTGTGTAGGTACACAACACACGACACACGCGACACGCACCACCGCACACACGTGTCTCACACACCGCACATACACACACCTAACGCGCATGGGAATGTGCTGAATGTACGGACCTGCCCCTTGCCCGACTTGTAGCGCTCGATCACGGCCAGCAGAATGCCCAGCGCACAGAGCATGCCTCCGCCCGCAAAGTCCCCCAGGAGGTTGCCCGGAAAGAGCGGATTCTCCCCGCGCCGGCCTGAAGGCCCGACACCACGCGCCATAGTTCATCATCATCATCATCATCATCATCATCATCATCATCATCATCATCATCATCATCATCATCATCGTCATCATCGGTCAGTCCGTATGTTGTGTTGATGTTGCAACCACAAGCAAAGAGAGTGCGTGTACCGAGTAGCGACAGGACGCCGGCCACGGCGATGTAGTTGATGTCGTGGCCAGCTCGTTGCGCGTAGTACCCGTTCTGGAATGGCAGAGCAAGAGTGAGAGTCGGCACATATGAATGAATGAACACATGGGAAGTGGAGGTAGAGGTTGGAGTGCCTGTCCGAAGCCGGTGAGACGGGCGAAGATGAGACGCGGGTTGCGGCGAAGCAGCACGTCGGGACCAAGGCCCAGCCGCTCCATCACGCCCGGTCGAAAGGGCTCGATCAGCACGTCCGCTTTCTCCGCCAGCTGTAGCAGCGTTTGCACGCCTGGACCACCATTCATTTATTTCATTTCATTTAATAATTTAATTATTTCATCTTTTATTTAATTATTCATTCATTCATTCGTTTAGTTGACTGGTGTTACTCGTGCGCGCCTTACCTTCGGGTTTCTTGAGGTCGAGAGCGAGGGAGCGTTTGCCGCGAGCCAGGACGTCAGCGCTGAGGCTGCCACCGGTCGGCCATCTGTCGATGCGCACTACGTCGGCCCCGAAGTCAGCTAGCACCAGGCCGCAGTAGGGCACCGGGGCCAGACCCGCAATCTCGAGCACCTTCAGCCCCTGCAGCGCCATGTGCCACTCTTGTAGGATGTTATACTGTTTCTTCTTTTTTCATTTTATTTTATTCTTTTCTTCTATTTATCCTGAAAGAAATTAAATCAACATAAAGAAGGACGAGGGCAAGATGGAGGTGGAGCCGCTGTTCCATATGTCGGGCCTGGGGGCGGTGGTGAGCTGCGTCGGACTGGCGGGGTGGTTCGTGGGGAGCCTCTACCTGTGGCCTGACTTACACCGGATAGATCGCAACAGTCCCGTGGTGATCAAGCGCCGCTTCGCAAGCGTGGGCCTGGCCTGCGTGACTGCCGTCATATACCTCTACTTCTGGGCCAACGACGTACGTCTTATGCTGCAATTCATTCAATGGAAGGGGCTGATTCTACCCGCTACGAGATTAGATTTAATTATTCAACCTCCTACACGGAAATAACCCACATGCATTCAATTGCCGAAGCGACACGCTTGCTGGGGTCGCGACCCTTTGATTAACTATGAGTCTCCTCTGCACAGCGTGACCTCGGAAAGGTGATGGAGTGGATGGGCGTGCGGACGACCGGCATCATCCAGGTGACGCACCGGACTACACGTTTGTTTGTGCAGACGAAACACGCTTGTGTGAGCTCACACTCGGTCGTTCTTTGGTACAGGCGGCCATCATCCCGTTGGCGCTGACCATGGTGCTCTTTGCCGGCCCGCTGGCGATGACCTACTACGACGACTGGTTCTTCCACATCCAACGCGGCACCCTCCACACCTACCTGTTCGACCAGCTCAAGGCCGACGTCTCCTCCCTCATCTTCTGGCGAAACTACGTCGTGGTACTGACTCAACGCAACGCAATAGGGCCGTGATGAGAGATATGTGCTCACAGTTTGCGCGCGCAGGGTCCGTTCACGGAGGAGTGGGTGTTCCGTTCATGCATGTGTCCTCTGCTCATTTGCGGCGGCTTCAGCTGGACCCAGACCATCTTCCTGTCGCCCTTCTTCTTTGGCATTGGTACGCTAGATGACACACTCTTGCACGTGCACGTAAGATGTGGCTCGCTAGCTTACGCTTCGATTCTGTTGTTTGCCGCGCAGCACACATGCATCACATCATCCAGCACCTGCACAAGCAAGGCACCGAGCTCAAGGACGCCTGGGCTGAAGTCCGTACGTTGCCTTTAAATCTTGACACATCACCCTACCACACACACACACACATACACACATTCGAAACATGCTGATTGCTGCTCTGCGCGCGCATCATTAGTCTTCCAGCTGTTCTACACGACCGTGTTCGGCTGCTACTCGGCCTTCCTCTTTTTGCGAACAGGTTCGTTTTTTCAGCCCACCTTCCTCTTCAAGTCTTCTTCAAGTATTTAGTACTTAGTGCATTCGTACACTCTCACCAGGTCACATCGTGGCTCCCTTCCTGGCCCACGCCTTTTGTAATATTATGGGATTCCCTGCCATCGAATACATCCCCAGCCACCCACACAAGGAGAGTACGTTCTCTCCATGGGCCACCTCCATTGTCTTCTCTCTGCATTGGTAGATGCGGCTGACCCTTTTCGTTTCGTTTCGTTTGTGTTGTTGTCTGGCAGAGTTGTACATTGCATTCGTGGGTGGGTTGATCCTGTTTTTCGTCCTCCTCTTCCCGCTCACCTCTCCCTGGCTCTACTCGTCCCTCTACGACTGGTGATGGTGCAGAAGAACAACGTGGCGGATGATGACGTGGCTTCTTGTCGACGCTATCAAAAGAGAAAGCTGAAAGAAAATCCAACAATTTCACAAAGCACTACAACTCGCGATTGAACTGTTGAACCGAAAGAGAAGAGGAACCATCATCCATCACAACACAAAGAAGCATCAATTATCGAACACCCTTGATCTTTTAATTTTGATTTCTTTATTTTTATTTTGGGACCAAAAGCCATTCACCCAAGAGAGCGCAAACAATGTTGGATGTGGAAGTAATCCCTGGCAAATCGGTGGGCGAATTCAAAATCGGTGCGTGCTCTGCTTCTTCCTCTCCCTCTCGTTCCCTCCCCGCCCGATCTTTTGCTGAAGAGCTCGAGCTTCGATTCGCAGGTATGCCCATCTCCTCTGCCATCGCCCACATCCAAAAGAACTACAAGACCATTTCGGCTGTCGAGCTCAAGTACTGCGAAGAGGTGCCCGCGCTACCCCACAACTACGTTTGCGCCTCTACCTCCGCGTACTTACCATCGTGTGCGTGTGCGGTGCCATTGTGTACGTGTGCGGCGCCAACCATGCAGGACCTGTTGAACACGTACCTGCTGATCGATCTGAACGAAGAGGGCCTGCTGCTGCGGTTCGAGCCGCGCACGCAGCGGCTGCACTCGATCGAGGTGTACGACCTCACCCGCGTGGTGCTGCGCTACTGCGGCGTGGCCTTCAGCGGCCCCGACACCCTCCCCACCTTCGTGCTCATCTACGGCCGCTTCGGACCCTCCTTCCCCGGCGAGTACAACCGCGACCGCCAGACCTACTGCCTCGACTACCCCGTAACCTCCTCCGCCACGCTAATCATCGTGTCGTGTGTGTCGTGTGTGTCGTGTGTGTCGTGTGTTGTACGACTCATGTCAATCTCTGAATTGTAGGGCGTGACGTTCACATTCCCGATTCCCAACAAGTGGAAGCACTTTGACGAAGCTGGTACGTGAGGCGACATCGAAAACTGTGCGTACGTCAACTGATTGCCAACGTCGTCATGGATTCTCCACCACCACAGAGCTGCCGATCGAGTTCTCCGATGGCACCACGCCGACGGCGGCGCGCATGGTGGTCTACCACGGCGAGAAGCGTGACACCACAATTCCGCCGCTCGACCTCAAGGAGGACTACTTTGAGGAGCTGCGCGTGCACGCGGCGCACGGCATCAAGTTCATGAGGCGCGGCTGCCGCCTCGACTTCCAATCGACCGCGCAGGATGTGCTCACCGAGCTCGGCCGCCCCGACCGCACCTTCTACAAACATGAGGTACTCCCATACCCATATACGTGTGCGGTGTGTGCGGTGTGTGCGGTGTGTGCGGTGTGTGCGGTGTGTGCGGTGTGTGCGGTGTGTGCGGTGTGTGCGGTGTGTGCGGTGTGTGCGGTGTGTGCGGTGCCGGGGGCTGCTCAGTCTGATCACTGTGACACCCACGCTAGGACAAGATGCGGATCCATTCGGGCGATCAGGCCATCATCGGTGCGGGCTGCGAGGACTACTTCTACAACTACTTCAAGCTCGGGCTGGACATCCTGTTCGACATGCGCACCCACGTCGTCAAGAAGTTCATCCTCCACACCAACTTCCCATGCCACAACGATTTCAACATGTGCGCTTCTCCGCCACGATTTATTATATTTATTGGTTGTTTGTTATTGTTATTGTTATAGTTATTTTGTTTTTCAACTCGGGTCGGTTTGTTCACGTGCGTGTGCGGTCGTTGTGCAATTGTGCAGATATAACAAGTGCAATTTCAAGCTGTTTTTCGGAAGCCCAGAGGAGATCGAGACCACGTCAGAGTCGGAGGGCACAGAGACCGAAGACAAGAGTGGCTCAGAAGAGTACCCTCCACTACCCTCCACCCTCTAATTATCATTCACTCCTATTTATTATTTACTTATTTATTAATTAATTAATAAAAATATTGTCTCAGCAGGGCGCAGTTCGACGAGCTGGAGCCGGAGGAAAGGCCTAAGATGCCCGCACTGGCCGACGATGAAGACGACGATGGCGAGGGTGATGAAGAGGAGGAGGAGGCCGCAGCGGCCCACGCCGCCGCTGCCGCCGCCGCCGCCAACGGGAGCAACGGCCGAAAGAAGAACCGGAACCGGCGCAAGAAGGGCAAGGGCAAGGCGACCGGACCCGCCGCCCTCCACAACGAGGACGAGGACGAAGAGCCGGAGGAGGAGCACGCTCACGTCGGGGCATCGCCGAAGGGAGAAGAAGATGAAGACGAGGAGCCGCTCGTCAAGAAGGGCAGCAGCAACAAATGGCGAACAAGAGCAACGGCGGGAACAGCAACAACGACAAGAAGATGGT